CCTGTCAATATATTTGCTCCCTATCTTTGCATGGAGAGTTTGTCTTGATGTAGAGATGGACTCTCAGGATAGCGTGGGATATCCCCTACATTTTGGCCTCAACTTGAGAGCTTTTTTTGAACTTGGGGAACTTGGCACCATCGTGTCTCGCGGACTTTTACATGAGAATCAGTAGTCAAATTGCAAATTGAGGATACCCTTGGTTCATAAATTGGACAACTATATCCCAATCTGCTAAAATAATGTGTTTAAATTGAAAATGCCGCTAGATGACGCTACTATTGGCGGTGCATTTTTTCGCTTTTAAATCTATTATTATACGATTTCCCGGAACTGGAAAAAATAATAACAAATACTGCGGAATCGGCTCTTTAACCAATTTCTGATGAATCGGTACAAATGATCTATTGTTATGACTCGTCGTTTGTAAAGCAGTGCTCCTCATTTATAAAAATTTTTGTCCATTTTAATTTTATATTGAAATCTGAAAATTGGCAGCGACATTTTTCTAGCGTTTTTCGTGTAGGAGGGTTGGCTACCCTTTTACGCCCTTAGAGTTCCATGCTTTGACATGTCCATACTCTTCCCTATGGACTCGTATAGATCATAATTGATACAACAATCAAACAGGTGAGATCGTACCCAATTCGATTGGTCCAACATGTGAACACAGCTTCAAAAGTCAATTTAGAGATTTGAGGGATCGGATCGTTAATGGTAGATTTTTTATTCTTTTAAGTATCAAATGGCGAGGAGAGTGAAATTATTAGGAATTTCCTCATTCTCATATTATCCAACTTAAATCCTAAAATTTTTGTTTGATGTTATGTGCGATTGTTTTGAACCAAACGATACATCGAATCACTATTGAATACAATCCATTCATTGTCGTCCCTAAAGAAATGTTTCTCATTAAGAGGCTCCGCATGAATGATGTTTTGAACAGGAGATGTTGAAGGAGATGGAGCTGCCTCGCTTTGGAATCCAATTTCACGCATCGAAATGTGTCTCGCGGAATTTATTTTTAATGCACACGTGAAACTGCACGAGAAGTTCATAACCGCAATAAAAGTTGAGGAAGCAACTTATTTTACGATTTCTGGAATTGGATTCGGATGACAAAAGATAAGGATCAAACGAGAGCGAGAAAAATGCATCTCCTTTATTCGGAACTTGAGGTCACTCCGTCGTAGGAAGCAAAGCTGGCATAATATATATAAATATTAAATGAGCCCGTATCAGCTTGCGAGGGTTTGTAGCACGTGAAAGTCAACGAAGGTTGCCTCTCAAAGAATCGTATTCTCTCGAGTTGTTTGAAAAGAATTACAAGTTTATATAGGAGCACCTATTGATGAAGTCGAAATAGATCTTAATCCAAATTTACATAAAATTTAAAAAGGCCATTTTCTAAGGCCAAAAATACGTCTATCCATATACAGGAAACACAAAATTAATAATACGCTCAAGGCTAAAACAATCGGAATCGGCTGAACAATAATCGATAGACAAATTGAAAGCCAGCCATTTTTTGGGGAAACAACCCCGGGAGACATATCGACGGTGAAATTAAAAAACCAGGTATCTCGTTTGCAGAGTTTAAAAATCTACACCCCCAAATTATTTTTTCGAAGAAGAGCAAATCAATATCATCTCTTGAAATTTTTACCGAGTTCTTCGTATAAATAGTAAAAAACACGGACGTTCTCGAGAATTGACGTCGAGTAGTTTTCCATTCAAAAAATAAAGTAGGACTGGACTCCTCCAACCTTACAAACCGAGATACGTGGTCTGGTAGTTTAACAGTTGATATGTGCAATCCACACGTCAAAAAAATTCGAAAACTATGGACTAGAACCACGTTTTTCTGCCTTTTTCCAAATTGAATTTTAAGTGGAAGCCCGCTGTTTCGAGAGAGTAAAAACAACGCATTGAAGTGCTCTCATAGAATCGTCGAATAATTTTTCGAAGCTCAAGTAATTTATCCGCCAGATCTTTACTTCGTTTCCGTCCATACCGTCGCGAGATAGATAGGACGAGAGACATCATTAAGACAATTATCTCTCATGCTTCATATCGCACTGACTTCCTGTCCGCAAAGAAAGCCCAACAATAGACCCGGGCATGAAACTTTCATCAAAGAAACAAAGAAACGCGGTATCCACGGTTTAAAACCGTGGAAGAGAACTGGGAACCCGCAAGGGGTTGAAACGGTCGATATAAAAATCCAAAATTGTCGAGCTCTGCATCTTAAATTCTCTTACGAGCATTAGGTATCATAAGAAAATAGACATGATTGATTTTAAAGTCATTCGTTTCGGTTGTTCATGAGTAACTTGAAGAGTTTTCAACGGAATGCAACCCGTTTCCCGCGCACCGATCCAAGTTACGGAAGGAAGGCGCTCTTTACTGCCCCATTACTTCGAGGAACTAATCCCTCGCTATGATAGGGATCCTACTTTCGGATGCGCTTTTAGCGGTCGCGAATGTTTTATCTTAAGAGACTTGTTAAACTTCAGATTCCCATCGAGCTGAGTGCGGTTATTCAGTGAAAGGCGGAAAATTGGGCTTATTAAACTGGATTTGTCTCCGAGCATTTTGCTGAATTTTTAATTCTCCGTCTTGTCAATAATGGTCTCGGCTTATTATTTTGAGAACGGAATTCATTGTTTTCTGTGAATTGGCTTTGTCTCTTAAAGTGGCCTGATGTAGAGAGTGGGTATCAGTTAATGATGTGTTAATTGCAATATCAATTTTAAGCGTTCACAGTAAATGGGGCCTCCGTTCACGAAACTGTCCTACTCATTTTTCAATCTGGAAAGGGACAAAAATAAATTTTAATGAGGATCAATTCATTTTTGGGTTTCAGGACATTCCGTCATTGGGTTCCGTTTTTTGGCAGCGCCCCTGTTTTGTCCAGTAGTTTACGCCCACACGTAAAGCAACAGTGACTTGGTCCAAGCGTTATATTTTAGTCCGTATAAAAAATTATTTTGACAATATCGAAATGAAAAAATTGAGAGAGACGGAGGTGTTGTTATGGTAACCCATTTTTGAGATGAAACGTTAATTTCTTCTTTTGATTCATCTTTTCAAATTGTCGTTGGTGATGATTATTATTATTATCATTTGGTTTTATTTCTATCCTAAAAAATTTCGATATAATATACCTTATAAATACTTTTTTCTTTTTCTTTTTCTTTTCTTTTTTTAATGAGGATATTACTTCATTTTAAAAATATTTACATGGTTAAAACGTGGCAAATATGTGCAAAACCTTTTACAAGCGACGGTATCAATATTACTCTCAATGAACCGGAGTTTTGTTGAAAGAAATTACACTAAAATGAATAAAAGAGGGGAAAACCAAGAAGCACGCAATTTTTGGTTTTAACTCATGTTCACATAGATTTTCTTGAGTCAGATACGTCCAGTTTTGAGCGTTGAGTTGCGCGCACACCACGCTGCATCACTGCAGTAAAAGCAAAAAATATAAAAGAAAAAAGTAAAGTGGTTTGGAAATCATTCAATTTGACACGGAACCACCTAAATATTTACAATATACCCATCACATTTTCCTTTGGTACATATTTTTCCTGCATCGATTTAAATTAGAATAATCCATGCAGAGTGTGCAAACATTTCAAAATAATGAGTTGAAAAACGCTGACTTCACGAGCTTAAATATTAGAGCCAAACACAGAGCGGAGCGGCATGCTGCTGGCACAAAACGCACACTGACGCCTACAAACCTAAGGGGATACTCCACGCATTGCGCAATGCTTGAGGTATCCCCTTAGGTTTGTAGGCGCCAAAGCGCGTGTCCCGTTGGCCGGCCGCTCGTGCCACGGCGCCTCAAGCAACTATTTCACATCGCAGGTCTTGCACAGTATCATACGAAATTGAAGGCGCTCCAACATATTGAGAATGACAAGCATCCTTTAAAATTTCGGAACTTTCCTCGCGAAATAAATCAAGATACTACGGCACAAAAAGAAAGCGGTAGTCCAAAAACTCACTAAGCCCTAGCACCCTCATTTAATAACGTTTAGTTAATTTGCGTTGTTTAATTTATATACATCAAGCCGCTACCTCAGTGCACTAGAGCGCTCTGCGACTCCCAATCGCCATTGGAATCGATCTTTTCGAAGATCATCCAACACATGAAACCTTCTGATCTCATCCTCCATGCCGCCAACGTACAAAAGTATTTGATTGGGTTCCTCCCGGAAGAAGGCGGCTTGGACGTCCAGTAAAAAGTTGGCGGCAGATTTAGTGGAGGAGGAGATAATTTTTGAATTTCATTAGAGAAAAAAATGACTCGATTAAGGACCAATTAACTTAGGGTCTCAATTAATTGGTAAGTGGACCAAAACTTTCCTGCCGAAAACCGCGCGGACGTAAACTCATAGAAAAGACAGGTGTGCGGGCAAAAAGTCGTTGACGAAATGTCCTATAATTCATTTCTAAGACTAAAAGGCTTGATACATCTCCCCTCCAAATCACTTACTAAACGAATTGACCCCTTTTTGTGATCAAGGGAAAGTAGAGCGCTGCACCATTGTTGTCGCTTTACAGCGCTCTGCGACTCCACTTTGTTTCCTCCAAGCGGGCTGATTATTGAAATTGATAGACAAAGCTGGAGACAAAGGAGAACGAGGGAAAATGGAGCGATCCTATTGGTGGAATCAAGTGGTTTCTATGGACAAAGGAAGTGATTATTATCCTATTTAATGGCCCACGAGAGACCCTCAAGTTTGTCAACCATTTCTCCTTAAGTCCACGAGAACCATCCGTTTTAACCACTTATTTTTTGTGTATCTCTTCGCCTAACAATATCAATAATCAGCCAGACCGAATCAACTTAATCTAACAGGTTCTAACTGTTTGGTCATGGCGTTAAATACAAGTCACACATTTTTTTAGAGTATGATCCTACGAAATGGATTGGTCATTTTATCCCTACGTTGATACTATTTTTGGTCATTTTAATTTTTTTCCAGGATGTTTGCGGGAATACGCCAATTCGCAGCTTGCTTCCCAGGGAATGGTTCTGGCTGGTCTCAAGCTTAACTAATATATATGTATATTTTTCTATGTTGTTAGGTCTAAGATTTTATGTTGATTCATTTTCAAATTATATGCATTGTTTAAACATTTTAAAACTTCACGATGACAGACCAAGAATTCTGCCTGTTTTAAAACCAGATAAATTATTTTAAATTGATTTGTTGTGCTAACATACATAAAGTTAATGTAGCTTTATTCATTCTTATTCTTCTTCTCCTTCTCCTTGTTCTGCTTTTGAAAATACATTTTAGAAAACAAATCTGAACGTTGCGTTTGACAACACGGCACATTTTTGCTGTCTCCCTCACGGAGGATCGTAACTTCATTCCAAGGTTGCAAAATTGGCTCAAACAATTCAATCTCTTGAAAGCATGTACCGGTCCAATTTTAGTCCAAAATTTTCTCTGATTTTTGCATGATATTCAGGTAATAATCAGTAAAATTTTTGAACAACCTTCGAGAAAATGGGATATGAGCAAAACATAATGAATATTTACGAGACATGAAGACCCACATTATCCCAAAATGTTTTGCTCTTGCAGAAAACATTTTATAGATATATCTATATCCTTCATTTAAACAATGAGTGCACACTTTTATTGAACTTTGAATAAGCTCAGACTGAGTTCCGGGACTTTATTAAAGTTGCAGCCCCTTTCTTGAAGCCTTGGTTTTTCAGAGATTTGAATTGAAGAATGACAGAAAAATCTAGTATGATTTAATTTTTAAAATGAATTTTTTAAAAGTAGGGAATTCAAGAAACGCCGTGATCTCGTATTCTCAAACGTGCGGCAACATAGACAAAATAGAGCTGGTACTGTATGTTATATTCCCTAGCTGTAGATCGAGGACAATTATGCTTCCTTCCTTTTTTCACTTCCAATTGGACTACATTTTGGAATTTGGAACTACATATAAATTTTAGCCCGGTTTAAAAACAACGTACGTGCCATTAGTTTCCCTGTGCACATAAGTGTTTTTCTAGAAGAGCCAGAATTTATAGTTCCAAATTTCAAAATGCAGTCCAATTCTTCTCCTTTCTCCTTTTGATATTTATAACTGGAGGATTTGGTTTTGTCAGGGGGAAGTTGATTGCTTTTAAAAACGTTTTTCGAAAAAATAATAATATTTAAAAAAATAATAAAAGGTAAAGAAGTTAGTACTGTTCTTATAACTATAAGTATTCCTTCCACTCGTTCTGCTTGGTACCCTCAAGGTATGATGATTATTAATACGATAATTATATACATTTCAAATATTAAATAAAATATCATTAGATTTCACCTGTAAAAATTGTGTATATATATATACACCATTCATATTCTGAATGTAAACTGAAGTGTAAACTTATAAATCACCTCAAAATTTTACTCATTCAATCCTGAAAACAGTAACAGGAGTTTATTTTTTGCATTAACAACATCGCTTATTAGCTAAGGTAGCTTTAATGCCGGTGAGCTGAAAAAAATTGCGGTTTTTGTATCAAAACGGAATTTTGTATCAAAAAATTGTATCAAAACGGAAAAACGAAAACCTTTTTTAAGACTCATGGAAAATTGCATAGCCCGACGCGGTGATACAACTATACTAACACGTGAAACCTGCGTTGCATCACACTTAAATGAAGGCGTCTCACACATCAATAGGATTCTCCAGTATTTTTTTAGTTTTAAAAAAAGTAAAAAATCACATTTATAGGTGAAGAAGGAGGTAAACATTGAAATATTTTTACTCTCACGTGTGACAGTGTTTACCTTGTAAATTTACGCAAAATGTGGGACAAAAATCTCGATTGCGGCTGTACACATTGTCCTCAATCATTTGACAAGAATGCTGTCAACCTCGTCCTTTACTGTTGCGTTGCGAATGATAATAAATCTAACAAAAATAATGAGAATATTCCTTGTTTTGATGTGACAAAAATCGTATCGAGACCACATATCAACAGTATCTGCTTGACAACCATCCTCTGTTCGCAGTTTGATTGTTCAATATTTAACGATTTCTCTAGGGTAACATGCGAAACAAAATTTATTTTCTTGTTCAGAATCTAATAATTTATTAATAATAAAATCATTTTATAAGCAGATGACATACACACGTGAATTTCACACGTAGGAAAAATTGATTTTCGTTAAACTTATCAGTGCTTTTCCTTATCCTTATTTAAACTGACGGCTCAGAGATTCATCGAGGAAATTACGTACTTTTCTTATTCCGCCAGTGATATATGTATTAACTCAGTTTAACACTGTGCATATCATGGAAGCACGATTATTTCCGTTAAGTTTTCCGTCAAATTTATCAGTGATGTATCCTGTTATTCTTAATCTAGAAACTCAGAACTCATTATATTGATGTAATTATACAAATTTCATCACTTGTAGTAGTTGTAGTTTAGGCAGTTATTGTTTCAGTTCACCCAGTCTAATATATTGAGCATCACAAAAAATTGCGATTATTTTCAGCGCCAACACTCAGAAATGTCCACAGCTCCAATTTTACAGTTAATTCTTTTTGCTATAGTCTCTTTGAACAATTCTGTTTATCAGCAAGATCATGAGCGCCTAATTCATCTAGCTCTCAAGGTCTGTAAGAACACAGTGCGACAGTCACAACAGCCAGTTGTTTACATATCATATTTTGCCTCAAACTTGTCTCTAGTAGCTCCACTAGTTTCTCGATTACACGAATCGGCAATTCAAACCATTTTGAAAACCCAACCGACCGATCTGATGAAGTTAGGTATTTCAAAGCAGAGCAAAAATATGATATTCTTTTTGGACAACGTCGATGAGATATTGAGTCTGATCCTGCACTCTGCTTCACAACAGAGAACCAATCCAGGTCACAGTAGAAGCTCAAAAATTACAAATCACACCCAGATCATAAAAGATCTAGACTCTAGTTCGAACGCGCGTTTGCCTAATTATTGCGTTCGTTTCGATGACGTCATCGCGCTGAACGTTGATACCTGCGACGTGGAACTTAGAGTCACGTCCGGAGAGCTGACATCACCCTCAACCCTATCGGAACTGGTCTATAATATGACCCGTGGTTTACACTTGAACGATATATGGAGCTCGAAAAGTTCATTGGTTTTCATGCTTGAAACTCCAGGTCGGAATCACTCCAGCGGAGAATATGACATCTCGTCGAATGAGATACGCGAGCTTATCGCATGTTTTAAATTCATGTGGCGTTTTTTCAAAGGCTACAAGACCGTCATCTGCCACTCGCACGGCTGTGTGAGGTACGACCCCTTCACCGAGAGACTTCTCCACTATAGCGGCGCGGAAAACGAGGAGTACTTCGATCTCTCGCTGACCGACATGAACGAGAAAACGGTAAATTTTATGCCTCCAGCCAGAAGTTTAATGTGGACGTATTTATGCTACAAGGAACTACGTGGAAGTGAGAAGATGGGGTATGCTCGTGCAAGCTGGATAAGAAACAATGTAAAAGTGGATTTAGTTCCTTTTGGGAAAATGAAAAAGTGGGATTTGACATTAAGTCAAAAGGAACTGAGCGCTAACTCGTGAGCCGTGGGCATGTGACAAGAGCGTTGTGGCCATGGCTCATGAGTTAGAGAGTCCCGCCACGAATCTCCCCGTCGTGCCCGGGCTTGCTCGTTGCCGTTGACGTCACTGGCGCTTTTAAAGTCCCATTCATTCTTATGACCCTCAACTAACGAGCACACCCCCATCTTTCCACTTGCACTTACAAAGTTCCATTTAGCATAAATACCTCGGTTGCGCTAGCAACAGAATCGTGTTTTGATGGTTTATGCTTATAAATTAGCGCAAATACTAAATCGTCACCTTCCAGCCAAAGTATCACAAGCTCCATGCGATGTTTAAAAATTTCCGCCGCCCCTTTATTTTTTTACAGAAAAATTACTAAACGAAGCTGTCTGAAATTTCACTGAATTTTCTTTGTGCCACCGATAAAATTCAGTGACATTTTCAAACAGGTTCAACCAACAATTTGAACATCATGGCGTTTGTGACACTTTGGCTGGAAGGTGACGAACTATTTACATCCAAGAGATTAACAGAGATAACACCCAATAAAAAACACGGGGTATGACATCATCCACCGTAGTGGTGAATATAATGGTTTCTTTTACCTCAGTTTTATCCGTGTTCTACTTTGAGCAACCAATGCAAATGTGTGTATCACTAGTTGATGAAAACAAGAAGAAGAAACCACGGTATGCGCTACTGCAATAGATGATGTTATCTATCTTGTAAACTGTATGGGTCATTTTAAGGAGAGGAGCTGTTTAAAGAAAAATGTAGCTCTTGAATGTGTCAGGAAATTGCGATTTAAAAACTCCTTCCTATGTACAATTTCGCGAGAAACACGACGATGCCTCTGGTTTTCTCTGAAACAAACTTCAATACTCAAAAAAAAAAAAAAAAAAAAAAAAANAAGTTCGCGGTAGTCACTTTTCGGTAAGGAACTAGGGGACTCGGTTATTGTATCGAGGGGGGGGTCGAAACGATCGCAAAGGCGGTATACTACGTATACGCGCCAAAAAAAAACTTCCTAAGTTGAGGCCGTAATGGAGGGGATATCCAACGCTGTTCTGAGAGTCTACCTCTACATCAAATCAAACTCTCCATACGAAGATAGGGAACAAATACATATACATTAACAGTGTGCCACTTTCTGCGGGGACTCCAAAACTGAAAACACCACAACCCTACGAATGTAGCATACTCCCTATCTTCGCATGGAGAGTCAGTCTAGAAATAGAGATGGACTCTTCGGATAATTTGAGTTATCCCCTCCATAACGGTTTCAACTCTGAGAGCTTTTTCGAGCTTTGGAGTTTCTTTTAAAAAAAACCAGTGGCGCTATCGTCTTTCTTCCGAAATTTTACGCAATAAAAAGCACTTGAATTACAAATTCCCCACACATTCAAGAGCTCCATTGCGAATCCCTAAGTGGAAAATTCTCTCTATGAAAGTACTTCAGCTACAAACACTCCGGAGTTTGGATTTTACTCCAAAATTTTACGTAGAGTCCCTTTATACTAAGAGTAAAGACAATGCGAATCCATTTCTGATTGGTTCCCGTATTTTAGGCCTTTACAGTGTCACAAAAGGGAATAAAGATTACAGTTTCATCGATTGCAAAGATTATAAACTGGAATGGACTGGGGAATAGGAGGTACGGCAAGGAACAAA